AGGCTAAGGATTACAGGTAAGAAGAGGACTTTCTTTTTACTGGGTGATCATTTGTACCATTTGATTTTGCCATGTGCAAATATCATCTTAAAAATTACACATGAAGGATAGCAACAACAAAGTCTTCGTTGAATACTGACTCTGCTTCAGTCACTATTAACTGGTGTTTGACTCTAAAATCCCATTTAATCTTTACAACAGCCTATGTAAAACTCTGTTTGACTAAAGGGAAATAGTCTCAGGTAATATCGGTCACTCATCCATGTTGACACAACTGAAAAATGGCAACATGGGGAACTGAAAGCAGTTCTTTCTGATTTCCAAAACCACAGACTATATGTGTTGATTTCAAGCCATTGCAAAGAAATCAAATTTATAAGACAGCAGCCTTGGGACTACTTTTTTAAGAACCTGAAGAAATACGTGAAATCCACCACATGGTTCACACCAACAACTCAATGCGTCTTCCTCCACCTAACGGCCCTTGTTAGAAGGAGTTTCACACACCTCACACCTTTGCAGGATGTTCAGCCTCCCTGAAGATTTTCCCCAAAGTCCTTCATGGGCACTGGAGTACTCAGTCCAAAGGTGAGGTGGTACCTGCTCTCATGCACTTTTCAGTAAACCACTCTTTTTAAATGGAGGATTTTCAGGGTGACAGTGAATATGCTGGTCAATATCTAACTTTCTTAAGTATACAGAGTCTTCATTTATTTAACAATTATCTTTCAATGATCATTTTGTGTCAAGGACTCTACTTGAGAGCTAGCATTGTAGAGGTGAACAAGGTCCTTGTCTCCATAAAACATCTGTCTCAGTGAGGAGAGACAGACGAGGAACAAACAAACAAGCAAATAAGCAGAACACGAGACAGTAAGTATATGGAAGAAAATTAAACTGGCCTGGCATAGTGGTGCAGACCTGTAATTCCAGCACTCTGGAAGACTGAGGCAAGAGAATTACAAGTTTGAGTCCTGCCTGGTAAATTTAGTCAGACCCTGTCTCACAATAGAAGAATAAAAAAGGCTGTGGATGTTCCTCAGTGAGAAGGCCCTAGGTTCAATCCCCAGTACCAAAGGGGAGAGAGAGAGAGAGAGAGAGAGAGAGAGAGAGAGAGATGAGTAGAGAAGAAAGAAAGGGAAAAGAGAAAGTTAAACTGTTATGATGCAGTGGCTAGTTCGCTACTTTAGCACTGGTCATGTCCCCCTTTTTGGGGACATGATATTTACCTGGGTGACAAGAATGGCACAGATGTGCTAAAAGCTACTGTCCAAAACAAACTCAAGCTCCCTTTGTATACTTCAGCATTCACCCCAATTTCCATTTCATGCTCCTATTCATTTACAACAGGAATTTGTAATCCTAGAATTTCGAGCTGTAAAGTCCCTAGAGGTCTTAGTGTCATGCCATCATTTTAGAGATGAGGAAGTAAAGGTCAAGGCAAGTGAAGAGAGCAGGTCACACAGCTATTTAGCGACCATGCTCATAGCTCTTAGCCCATGTATCTTCCCCTCACACTTTCCAGTGTCCTGCTCCTCCCTGCAGACTGCTGACCCTGGTGCCTGCCTCTGGACTCTGCCTGGTGCCGCTGATCCTGGAGTCCACAGACACTATAAAAAGCCTTCTGGATTACACGGACCTAGTGGAATGGCATTGGGAATCTTGAGAATGATATCCTGGAGCCAAAGGAACAGTAGAAGAAAAGGTACAACCTCCCACAGTGCATTTTCTCCACATTCCAGCCAAGTCCTAGAGTCCTGACTGGTTCCTGCCCCTCCTCTCTGCTCTCAAGTGACCCCTGTAGAGGTTTTTAAATTTGGGAGCTGCATGGACTCAATGGACACTAAACATCTCTCTTCAGAAATGTTCCCCAGCTTAACCAAGTTGATATGGAAATGTTCCATTATATAATTTCACCCCCTCCCAAAATGCTTTACAAAATGATTAATCACAGAATTTCTTTAAATAGAAAGTTCCTTCAGTACATTTAAAGTATGATCTATAAAAATTCAATCTACATAGAGATTTTATTCCCTCTTCAAAACCCCCCCCACAGCTATTGTATCAAGGGCAATAGCATAAACATGGACTCTCAACAGTAGATTCTAGACTCTTAGTATGTAATGGTTCTCTTTCATTCTACAAGTATTTATCAAATGACTCTATGAAATACACACTTCCAGGGTGCTCTGAAGACACAATCATAGGAAGACAGATATAGACTCTGGCCTTTGGGAGCATGCATGCACACAATTCTAACACATGGCAGGTATGATGAGAGCTGCAAAGGAAATATGGACCAAAGCTATACAGGACAAGGGAGAGACATTATATTGCGCTTTTTTTTTTTGGTACCGGGGATCGAACTTGGGACCTTGTGCTTGTGAGGCAGGTGGCAGCACCACTGAGCTAAATCCCCAGCCCCTGAGAGACATTATATTGCAATCAAAAATCTGGGAAGGAGGCAGCAACATTTTGATTGCAATTCAAAGGATGATTTGTATAAACATACAATGCATTCCAGGAAAGGAAAACCTCACAACATGTACAGAGGGCAGGACATACAAGAGCACATTCTCAGGACAGAAGGGAGTCCAGTGTACGAAATGAGAAAGAAGAGAAGACAGATCTTGGAAGGTAGAACAGAGCCTTGAAAGTAAGAATAGACAAAATGTGGACTCTAATCTATAAGCCACAGAACCCTTGAGGGGGTTCTGGGCAGGGAAAGAATATACATTTGTATTTTAGGAGCTCATTCTGGCAGCTATAGGTGGGGCAGACCTGAGTGGATAAAGGCTGGCATCAGGGACAGAGGCCCATTTAAAAATCTATGGTTTTTGGATCATGTTTAAAACAAATAAATAAGAAATAAATCGGGGAGCTGGAAGAAAGGTAGAATTGATTAGGTGAGAAATCTAAATCCACAGAGAGCATCCAGTTCTGGGTGGGGTAAAGCCCACACTTCAGATCCCAGCCTAGGGCAGTTAGCAGGGCTGTAAGTGGTGCCTCTTTAAGGACAGTGGTGAGATGCTTCCTGCTTGAGACAGTAATCATGAGACCACTGCATAAGAGCCATCCCAGCTGGGTGTCTTTTGATCCATGCATGAAGTCTCAGTTATTAATAACTCCTCTTCTGAAGATAGGCAGAAGTGCCTGTTATACATTAGGGCCCAGAACACTTGTGAAATTATAATGTCTCCACAGCAGCAGTGAAAAGCAGCTTGATTGGGGTGGAGAGCAGGAGCTTGAAGAACAACCATTTGTGAACAAATGATAACTCAGAGAAGGGAGGATAACTTTAATCAAAAACATCAGACACAGTGTAAGCCTTATGGCTATGCCTGATGATAGCAATTGCATGACAGATTGAGGTCTTTCAATATGAAGAATCAGGTCCCAGGTGCACTAACCTGGGCCATACCTGCCTAGTTCACAGGTAAACAGTCACACAAGTAGCTGTCCAGGGTTCTCTTGGAAAAGATGGTGAATTTCAGGGCGTTTCCCTCTGTCCTCTTTTCTTGGCTATTCTCTCTAGAAATATATAGCTCCATGCTATAGTTTGGATCTTGAATATCCCTCAGAAGTCTATGCATTGAAGGTCTGGTCCTAGCCTGTGGTGATATGGGGGTGATAGAATATTTAGAAGGTCGGGCCTAGTGGGGGAAGGTTAGGTATTGGGGTCCTGACTTGAAGGGGGTATGGGCCCCAGACCCTTCCTCTCTCTCTTTGCTTCCTGACCAGGAAGTTAAGAAGTCTCCTCGGCCACATGCTCTTTATCACAGGCCCAAAGAAACAGGACACAAAATGGAACCTCTGCCTCGGTGAGCCAAAATAATCCTTTCCTCTTAAAAGTTGATTTATTTCAGGTATTTTGTCACAGTAATGGAAAGCTGACTAACATACTAGTTTCCTCTATCATCAGAACCACATTGGCATTGTGAAGCCTGCTCACAGCCAACTGGCCATGTACTCTACAGACCTTACCTTGAACCAGTACCCTCACGTGTTTTGCATGGGATATGAATATCCTGAACAAAGGACCTTGAGGTAAAATAATGCAGGGAAATGCTATATTAAATAAAATAAGACACCTAATGCTAATATGGTCTGAGAGTCTCCTAGAATTAGAAACACTAGATAGCATTTCCCAGTATTATTTACCTGCAAAACCATTTTTCCAGCAAAGTATTTCAAGGGCCAAAAGCCCAGCAGAACATAACTGAGAAAAGCCAGCCACGACCTTATTCTCTATAACATTTGTGTTTGAGGGTCAGCAGTAAGAACTAAAGCTAATATTTAGTTTCTGCTCACTGTGTGCCAGGAACCTTTCCAAGTACTTTACAGGTAGTAATATATTTAATCCTCATGTCTGTAACATGGGTCCTATTATTACTAATCTCTTTTTATAGGTGAGGAAACCAAGGCATGGAGTAGTTAAAAGACTTTCCCAAGGCTCTAAACAGACAAGTTGGTGAACAGAGCAGTCTGACACCCACAGAAATCAATTTCTAATGATAGAATGTCAAACACTATGATCAGCTGGCAGTGGCTAAGATTCTGAGCAGAGCCTTGGGTGGCCACTCTTCAAACGTAGTAGTAAATCTCAACCTATCTGTCTGCTCATGAACAAGGCTTTATGGGTCTACCTAGACATTATGTAGAACACGATTTCTGAATTGTAGCAGTTATTTGGTTTCTCCATCAAATCATGTCACATTGAACACATATAATTTCATAAAACAAAGTCCTGATTCAGACCGCCATGAAATTACTGATAATAAATGGAACTTATAAAGAAAACAACCTTTTGATTAATCAGAGTGGCGAGACAATGCAGGCACAACTTGAGACCTGGCTTCTCCTGTGCTTTAAAACTTTTGATCTCTTGCTCTCTGGGTCTAGTGATGAAAACCAAAGGACGTTTTTTCCTGTAATGTGTGTCAAAATTTTACATCCTTTCCCTTCTACTTCGCACAAGAATTGTCAAAGACGTGTCCTACCCTCTCCCACTTTCTCTCCTTGTTCAGAAGTATTATCACCAGTTTCGGGTGCATCTGGTAGCCATCTTCACTGAAGGATAGATTTCTCCCCTCAAAAGTGACATTGATCAGATACCTGTAAAGATAAAATAAAAAGAATCTTAAACACATGAAGAAAGTATATTAAGAACAAGAAGGATAGAGAAAGGTAAATGGAGGCAAACCAGTGGAAAGACAGATACCATTAGGAAATTGGCACTTCTTGAATGCTCATTCAATTATACAAGAGTCGTCCATGTTTTTACCTAACAAAAATAGAGGGAAATAATATAATTTAAAATAAAAGTACTTGGTTTGAGTTCAGTCTATAGCTATGACTTTGAGCAAACTGTTTAGCCTTCTGAACTTCAGAGTTTTTCCTTCTCTGCAGAAAGTGGGATAAGAAAAGGATGGACTTCACTAGGTTTAAATGGGATAATTGGTCAATACACCTTAGGACCTGGTATATAGTAAACCCTCATTAAGTGTTAATTATTATTCAAAAAAGGAGAGGAAACAAAGGGGAAGAGTAGGTAAGGCAAAAACAAAAAAGGAAGTGGATGAGTACTAAGACAAATTTCTGCTAAGGAAGGTGGTTTGCTGGAGCAAGGGTCGGACTCCTTATAGATGTACACATATATTTTAAACTTTTACTAATCCCTTGCCCAGTCCATATGCCTAAGAGTTGTGAAGTGAGTCCACTAGGCAGGACTTTGATACCACAGGATGGATCTGAAAACAAGCATTATTGCATTATTTACAGGGTACAGAAAGTACCCTTGGAGGAGGTGGAGGCATTGCACAAAGTGTTCTGGGAACAGGAGCATAAATTAGCAGAAACTTTGGAGGTAACCAAGGTCAGAATAATGAAATTATCTTCTTCCTGGACACCTACTCCCCACTCTCCCCTGGTGCCTGCTGTGATGAGCAGTTCTGTCACTAGAAACTCCCATGGGTATGCTCATTACAACTGCATCAGTGCAACTGGCCTCTTGGTAATTAATGCCCCTTTTCCATATTGGCTCAAGTAATCAGTAACGATTAGCTCCATGTTCACATAATGAGCTACTCCAGAGCTTTGGGCCCAGTACTGCTTATAATATGTGTTTCTGCTGAACAACCAAGAGGCATCTTACAATAATAGCAGAGGAAGCAGCTTTAAGGTCCCTCTTTTAACTCTGACTCAGTGAGGCTTGGAGACACCAAGTCTTCCAAGGAGGAATGTGGTTAGAATGCATCTCCTTTTGGCAATTATAAAGATGGCAGCATGAGTCCAGCCCTCATAGATCATTTCTCACTCCCAGAACTGGGATTCTTAGGCCCATCTTTCCATATGCAATCAAGAGCAAAGATGATCCCCAAAGAGTAGAGATTCCTAGAATTGTAGATCTGAAAGACATGTATAATCAGCTAGCCCATCACTTCTTGGATCTGACACTTCCCCTCTATAACGTCGCAAAACTGGTCCCCTCAGCTCATCTTAAATACCTCCACTGATGGGACATTTGTCCCAGCATCCTCAAGGTAGCCATCTCATGATTGGTGTTTCATCTTACTGAAAGCTGACACCTGCTCCATTTCAAACTTCTAATACTTGTTTTCTCCTTAGATATTGTACAGTCTTAGTCCAATTCTTCTTTCACATGAGTTTTTCAAATATTTAAAGACATTTAGCATGCATCCCTTATAAAACAAATTTTAATCTTTAATAAAACTCTAAATTTGTTTAGTTCTATAATTTTAATTTGATGAATTAGGAAACAAGGACAGAGAGGTTAAATTATTTGTCCAAAGTGACATTACTAATTGGAAGCAGAAGTAGGATTTTAAGTAAATCTTCAGCCCCGCGTCTTTTCTAATACACTATCCTGATTCTCACATGCAGCATGAGTTTAATACTCCCTGTTCCTTTGTGTAGCTGTCCCACACCATGGCTTTAAATTCCCTCTCTCTCTGGACACCTCCAGTCAAGTGAGTAGAGCTCCCCTTGTCCAAGACTCCATCAGCACCTTCTCCTCTCCTCCTGCTGCTTCTCAGCTTCAATGCTGCTTGCTCAAACCCATCACTAGTTTGAAGATTATATTCAGGTCTCCTGTAGTCTTCAACAACTCTAACACTCAACCAAAAGCCCTGTAGATTTCATTCTAAGGAATACTATTACAAAGCCACAAGACAGCCTATTTTAAACTAAGCAACTAGAATTTAAACACCCATTATTAACTTGGAAAATATGTTCTTACTAGGACAACATTGGGTTATTCAGAATGATTTCTTAAAGTCCTCAAAGAAAGATTACAAGACAGACAAAATAATTAGTCCCAGCTCTTTTTTGAATAAAGGAAGAGAAGAAATGTGAGAGGGAATGAGAGAAATGGTGGGGGTAGGAGAGAGAAGGAAAGGAGGAAAGTAAATTACCTGGCTGAAGCACCATCTTTTCACCAGCTATGGCTCTGAATAATTCTGATTTTATCTAAAATACCATTAAAATATTTAAAAGAAAGTGTCCATTTCAGAAGGCAATTACAAAAGGGAAGTTGCAGAAATAATTCTATTCATATGCAGCATGAATGGAATGAGTATATAGGCTCTCAAGATGACTCCCTTAAAGAGGACAACCATGAGAAATTTGAACTTTCAAGAAATGAACCATACTCCTGGGCAAAGTGATTGGCCTATAGTTAAATTTCTCTAGTTATTCTTGCTCCATGTCCTCCAGATTTTCCTTAGAAATTGTTCTCTTTCTATAGTGTTCACTCTCTTCCACCTGTGCAAGTTCCTTTTATCTACCAAAGCACTTCTCCAATATTTTTCACTTTTCAAAATTACTAATAAAATGTTATGACAGTATACAAAATATTCCTCTCCAAAGTATCTCTTAATCATTTATGTCCTTCCACAGCATACGGATTAATCATTCACACTGTGTTTTTCTGAGTAATTCTCTATGATATGATGCCATTCAGCTATTAATGAGAAGCTTGCAAATATTTACCAGCCCTAAGCTAGGATGATAAATTTTAACAGTTGCTTGATTTGTCTCCAGGATGTAGTCTGACCTCTAAGAAACCTGATGGCTTCTCTCATAAAGTTCTCATATTGCACAGAATCTCATATCGCTAGTACTAGAAGAAAAATTAGAAATCATCCATTAAGAACCCTTATTTTAGAGAAAACAGGTTCCAAGATGCTAAGCGTTTTTCCCAAGTGATGTCTAGAACTCAAGTCTTCTGATTCTCAGCTCAGCATCTTTGCAGGAGGTCACCAACTGAAGCGAAATCCGTTTCACAAATCTCCTGGTATGCAGTTTAGTTTTCTTGTGTCACGTGTCACACCCAGGACTACACAGACCCCTAATATAGCCTGAGTAAAATAAAACCTGTCTCATTTCCTGTTTGCCTCTTTATTGAGAAAGAACCTCAGAATACTGATGGGCTCAGAGCCAACATATTTGCTTTATATGGCTGAAGTCACACTCTAGTGGGTTTAATGGGGTCACGCTAAGGTTAACAAGCCCCGTGCCTCTTTGACTTTGCCCATGCCACACAGAGCTCATCTGCTGCACCACGCTGACAACCAGTGAAATGATTTAGCAATGTGCCCTGTGTAGGAGGCACCTGGAGGAGCTCTGCCAGAATTTTCTCAACAAACCAAGAGCCCTGGCACTACAATGCTTCTCTGCCCTCCATATATTTACAAAGCACTAGATTTTTAAAAATTCATGTCCATTAATGAGTTAGTAAGAGAGATATAGCATCTGATCTCATCCAATCCTTTCATTAAAGTCAAGAAGGGCTTTGCACCTTTACCAAGATCAGATGACAAGGTTGAGAACAAGGTCCAGATGTCCTCAGCCCCATCAGCCTTCTCTCACCACCATGTCTTAGAGACGGCAGCAATTTTTTAGAGCTTTTATTTTAATTCTCTAGCTATTAAAAAGAAACTGAAAAGGAACATAGTTCCAGGTAACAGACTTGAATTCTTGACTCCTTGCATACAATTGTGTTATTTCTGAAAATCTCCAACTCTGCAACTTTGTGTCATTGGTAAATTTCTTACCCTTTAAAGCCTTCAGCTCCCTCATCCATTAAACAGACTGGTTCTTACCTCATTTGCCTGACGTGGGAAGATATAGGTAGGTCCTCTGACATGTTTTTGATCTTCATATTTCTTTTTTTTCTTTTAACCAAACTTTTATCATGTATATTTAAGCTATACAACACGATGTTATGAGATACATAGAACATAAAAAGATCACTGTAGTGCGTCAGGTTGACATGCCATCACTTCTCACTTCTGTTTGGTACTGTGCTTATTAAATTATTAATTCTATCATCTGGATGGTAAGACCACACATCCTTTGAAGTCTTTCACAGGATAAGAATGTAGTGTTCTGAAATTATTACTATGCATCCACAGTTTCTTCAGAAAGAGTAGAAACAGTTTTTCACAGGATTAGAAATAGTGGACTTTAAACATTTTCACAAGGGCCGGGGATTTAGCTCAGTGGTTTCGCTGCCTGCTGTGCAAGCACAAGGACCCGAGTTCGATCCCCGGTACCAAAACAAAAACAAAAACATTTTCATAAGCTACCTTATTAGAGACCAATATTGAAGAAAAGAACCAAAGATAGTTATAAATTAGATGTTCAATGATATGGTTCAGATAGACCAAACAGAAATTTCTGAATTTTTCTTAACTTAGAAATTCATGATTATCAAAATTAATTCAAAATTTTCAACTCAATGTAGTGTGGTCAGTGGGGAAGGTCATGACCAGTGAATAACTGACTTCTGAGCTTATGGATATATTCTTTCTGGGTTCAAACCTAGGAGACTCTTCTCATTAGTAAGATGTTCTACATTCAAATGAATAAAGATGTCTAGATCCAAACTGCTGGTGGAAAGAAAACAAGGAGAAATAGGAATAAAATTAAGCAAGGAGGAAAGAAACACGGTCTTTACCACTCACAGCAGCCACCACAGGCAATGTATCAAGGTGTCTAAGAGCAAGGGAGTTGTGGTTGGTGACCCCTGCTCAAATTCTGGCCCCACCAGTTCCTAAGGTAAATGGCAAGGCTTTCGTGGTGCATGAATTATT